CTATTAAACTTTTCTAAAAATTTCAAGGTCTATTATTTTTTCTACTTGTAAGACAAAGTTTTTGCAATTTTTTTTCATATGTGCTGTTTCAAAATTTTTAAAATTTTTGGAGTGCTAAATGTTATATTATTTTATTCGATTTCTCAGAAAAAATTGATAAGAACAAAATTTTCTTTGAACATTTTATTTTAATAACCAAAATGTAAAATTTTAGACAAAATAACAAGATGTTTTTTTTATGGACCCAAGCTAGTAAATTTTGAAAAATAACACCATTTTTACAAAAATTGTGACAAAAACTAACAGACAAGGTTTTAAAAACCGCTTCATTGTTTTATTATCACGTTTTTGTTTCAATTATTATTTATTTTTGTATTAGACTTATCTAAATATTTCAAGGTTCATTTTTTTACGTTTTTAATAACAAAAATTTAAAATTTTAGCCAAAATAACCTGATTTTTCTCCTTTATGGATCCAAATTTTGGACCAGAATTAAAAAAAAATATTTTTTCATTTTTTCATCCTTTAACCAAAACAATAATGTTCTCTTTATGTTCAATTTTTATTAATTTTTGTAAATTGTGAAATTTTAAATTATTGCAAATTTTTGGGCAGTATTTGGGGCATTTTTTTTACCACGTTTTTGTTTCAATTATTATTTCTTTTTCTGTCAGACTTTTCTAACAATTTTAAGGTCTATTATTTTTTCACTTGTGAGTCAAAGTTTTTGTAAATTTTTTTCAAATGTGCTGTTTCAATTTTTTTTATTTCTTGAGTGCCAAATGTATTGATTTGTTCGATTTTTTGAAAAAAAATTACTTTGAACAAAATTTTGAATGAAAATTGATAATAATGTAAAATTTTGGCCAAAACAACCGGTTTTTTCCCTTTTATTCACCCAAACAAGTAAATTTTGGTCCTTAATTTTTAAAAAATACTTCATTTTTCTATCCTTTAACAAAAACAAATGTTTTCTTTGTTTAAATTTTATTAAAATTTCTTCATTTGAATTGTAACCAATAATAAAAGGAACTTTGTTGAAATTCCCACTTTTGAGCAATTCGAAGGAACTTTGGGTTATAATTGTGCCCTTATTTTTGGCTTCTATTACCGGATTAAAAGTTGAAGCCCTTAGATCCTTAATTTAAAAATAAATAAATAAAACACAAAAAAATAACAAACCGTAGCTTTGGTCGAATTTGAGGCCTTTACCAACTCCTCCCCCTCAATATTTCGCAACCCCTCAACCATATTTTTGGTATTATCGCAATTAATCCCAAAAAAATTGGCAAGATTCATCACAAAATTCAAAGGATTTCGTTGCAAATACCTGGAATTGAGACTCGACCCACTTTGCATAATAACCCCCTGAAACAGCCCTCTCCCTCGTGGACTCAACTGTATCAAACCCACTGAATCCGCCCCTGAACTCTCCCCAAAAATCGTCACTTTTGCCCCATCCCCCCCAAATCCCCCAATATTCCCCCGAACCCACTCCAAAGCCCTCACTTGATCCTTAATCCCGGCATTCCCCCACGCATTTTCATCATTCGTGGACAAAAAACCGAAGACATTTAACCGAAAATTAACAGTGACAAGCACCACAGGTTTCTCCATGAGGTATTCGGGCCCCAAATCGGCCCCCGAGCCCCTCAAATGGGCCCCCCCGTGGAAATAAACCAAAACCGGTTTCGGGTTTTCCAAATTTTGGGTAAAAACATTGAGAGTTAAACAGTCCTCATTTCCGGTTATTGAACCGCCGGTTTTGGCGGTTTGGAGGCATTTGGGGCCGTATTCGTGACAGATTTTGGTACCGTTCCAGGGTTCCGGGGGTTCCGGGGCCTGGAACCGGAGTTTTCCGAGGGGTGGTTTGGCGTAGGGGATGCCTTGGAAGGCGTAAAATGACGAGTTTGGCCAAATACGGCCCTGGACGCGACCGGAGGTGGTCACAACAACCGGATTTTCACATACAGACTGGAAAAATTAATTTTGGGGTAAAATTTTGAGAAAAACTCACCATTTTTCCGAAAATTGTGACTAAAACTAACAGAGGTTTTAAAAACCGTGTCATTGTTTTATTATCACGTTTTTGTTTAAATTATTATTTATTTTTGTATCAGACTATCTAAATATTTCAAGGTCTATTATTTCTTTCACGTGTAGTCAAGGTTTTTGCAAAAGTTGTTAGCTTCAAAATTTTTTAGCGGATTTTTCTCCTTTATGGACTCAAACTTTTGAGCCAAAATTAAAAAAAAATACTTTTAAAACTTATTTTTTTTTATTGTTTAACAAACAGAAATGTTCTCTATGATCAACTTTTATTAATTTCTGTAAACTTAAAAATTTTAAACAAAACAACTAAATTTTAAGCCTTTCGAAAAAATACTTTGTGAAACTTCATTTTTTCATTATTTAACAAAAATAAATGTTTTCTATCTTCAATTTTTATTAATTTTTGAAAATTGTAACATTTCAAATTATTGCAAGTTTTTGTCCAGTTTTTGTTTCAATTATTATTTATTTTCTCTCAGACTTTTGTAACAATTTTAAAGTCTATTACTTTTTCTTCTTGTAAG